TAATACCATTCTGTTATAAAGCCTGAAGATATAGTACACACATTTATATTACTCACATCACAATATTTAAGGGTATTGTTTTAAAAACGACATTGGTTAAATTGATATATTTTGGATCATGTGTGTACATATTATACTATATAATAAAACTATTAATTACAAAAAACTTATTATGAAAAAAATAGGTTTCAACATATGTTTACAAGTAGTTTCTTTACTTGAAATAATAAAGAGGAATTTAATTAGTATCCAAATTAATTTATAGGGTGGCCTATAGAGATAAGACAAATGTAATAACTTTTTTTCTAGTGAATAATTTAAGATTTTTTTTTAATTAAATTTATACTCATTTGCGCTTTAAGCACCACATTATTTATTGCACTTAACTATTTTATCTTTTGAAATACATTTTTTTTTTGTTACATTTATTTTTAGAAATTCAAGATGTCCTTATATTAAGAATAATTTGATGGACATTTTGACTGGTCGACAACTAGATTTGGATAATTACTTTTTAAGTTATTCAAGTGTAGGACGGAAGGTGGAGTGCGGTAGAGTAATGCCGAATGCGTGCAAATCAAAATAACCATCTACCGCTCTTCATCTTCCATCCAACCCTTTAACCTTTAACGCTATGTTTCCTTTCAATACTCATAATTTATTAGATTTTTGATTTTTATAAGACTTTACAGAAGAACAAAAATTAAAAATAACATTTTTCAAGTGTTCTCAATGATGATATTGACTGATGTACAGAATGATCCACTTATCGTGAACCACTCAATATCTCATTGGGTATAATAAGAAATTAAATTTTTTTTTTCATATTGTTTTTATACAATTTTTCACAATTTGTTTTTGTTTTTACCCCCCTCCCAACTTAATTTTTCTGATAACAATTTTTGAAACTTAAATGGTAACGTTTTTATTTATCTCGACTATTTTAAAAAAGGTGATAAATCCCAAGACACTAATTATCGATCAATCTCTAAAATATCAATACTTCCTAAAATATTTTCCAAACTTATAACTAAAAAAATGTGTCCACTGTGTGAGAAAATTCTTACTGATGAACAAAATGGTTTTCGACCAAGACGTTCAACCGTAACTAATGTTTGTATCTTTAAACAATCAATTCTAGATTTACTTGTTCTTAAAGCCCAAGTAGACGTAATATATACGGATTTTGAAAAAACATTTGATAGAGTTGACCACACGTTTAAATGTTTATGTATAAATTCAAATTATATGGCTTTTGTGATGCTTCACTTTTGTGGTTTAATTCATTTCTAACCAATCGTGTCCAATTTGTAATATATGAAAATTGTATATCTAATTCAATATATGTTTGATCTGGTGTACCCAAAGGAGATCACTTATCTCCCATACTGTCTTCTTTATGTATAAATGATATTAGTAAAGTTCTAAATTACTCGACATGTCTATTATTTGCTGATGACACTAAATTATTTAAAAAATTCGAATGCATGGAGGATTCATTGAAACTTCAATCTGACTTATAAAATTTGTATAAATGGTTCAACAATAATGGAATGTCTTAAAATATTGATAAATGCTTTATTATGTCTTGCTCTTAAAAAAACACTCTTTATTTTAAATATACAGTTAATAATACAAATATAGCACGTAACAATATTACTAAAGACCTCGGAGTTTTATTTGACACAAAGCTATTTTTCAATAATCATGTAGACTTCATTCATAATAAGTAATTTATGAAACTGGGATTATTAAAACGTATTATTGAAACTGTATTAATATCATTGACCTGTTGAATATATTCTTAAAAAAATTTAAAAAAAATTTTTTAGATAAGTACTTAATTGTTAAATTTATATTAAATAATTTATGTATGTTACGATCTTTTATATTATGTAATACATTTATACATGTACTGTTATAGTCTTATATTTATAATTAAAATTTTATTCAGTAAAATAAAAAAAAAACAATATAAATAAATCAAACATTATTCAAATCTAACATATTGATATGAAGATGTTCCAACCGCACAATACCAGCGTCCGTCCTCTCTCCACAATTTATCGAATTGAGTTCATCAATGTATTCTGTTAGTGACCGAATGAAACTAAAGTTGACAGAACGGAAAGTCAAATTCAGATGAGACAGAAATCTTTTCGCATTCAATAAACTGTTAAACTCAATAGGCACAGGACTAAATATCATTGGCAGAGATTTTATATCTCTTTCATTAAGATCTCTATATTTTATTTTAAATTCTTGATTGTCTATAACGAATGGAGCACTCGCTTGGCATTCAAAATGCTGACAAAGCTTATTCAGTGTTGAATCTGCATAGATGACCACATTGTCTATTATCCGTGTCTCGTTGATTAAATCTATTAGGCAATCCAGCAAAATTGTTACATTTAGATCTCCAGACAAGTTTAGGATAGTACCAAATTGTACCACTATATTGTACCATTGTTGCACGTACACTTTGTAGAGGCCCAAATTACCAATATAAGGTCGTAAATATGCCATGTGTTTTAACGTCAGACGAAACAAGATAATTTTAAAAAAGTCATAACACGCGTTAAAGTATGATTTTATTTGTCGGAGAAAGGTGTTTTCCCAGTCCAGTGCACGCGCTTTTCCCCATGCCGTACACAGTTTTGTGCTAGTGTTATTCCATGTTATTTGCAAGTTGTATACGTTTTGAAAGTCGTATTTCATCTTGTCATTCATCCCTAGGTTGCTCATGAAAAGCGAATTAGTTTTATATTTAAATCAAGCCTCTCTTTCAACAAACCATTACTAACTATATTGTTTTTTTCCAGCTGAGCGTTGGTGTGTGCCAAGTATTGTGGGAGTATAATATTTGTATACGTATAAAGTTCTAATTTCTGACCTGACTGTATAATTCTTTCGTACGAATCGAATGAATTGCCTTTACGACACCCGGCTAGGTCGTTTTCCAGTTTTTCGATCACATAGTTGACAGTTTCGATAATTTTCGGATGGTCCTCCGGCGTATTTTTTAAATCCTCGTAAAAAACCGTTTGTAAACTGGTATACAAATGCAGTGCCCACAAGGCACCAATACGTCTTACTTTCAGAGTGAACAGCGAAATTATCTGGGGTCTCACTACACTGTTCAAACTACTAACATGTCTTACCAATCTTTTCAATTCTGTATGATTTTCAAGTAAATTCTTAACTAGTCGCATGTGTGTATACCCACCGAACAGGTATCCACATTTTAGTTCCATATAAAGTTCATTTTTTTCAATATTTGTTTTGGTATATTTGTACCCGGTTTCCAATGAATGTACCGAAGTGTAAACAAACATCGTCATGCCTAAAACCAATTTCTTCAGTATTCCAGAGCGCATCATTATCTTTTTAAAATTTGATTTAACAGATATAAAAGTATTAGGTTTGCTTGCTTGGTTTTCAAGGTGACAAAATGTACTGGCTGTGAAAAATATTAATTATTTGTTGTATATTAGTATAAAATCGAATTTAGGTCGATTACTAAAAAAAAAAAATTTAACTGTAGGTATATTTGTTTAGCTGTTTTATATACAAGCTAATAGAACACCTTGAATTAATATTAGAATTCTTATTTAAAGCCTGAAAATATATTACAGACATTTATATTAACACATCACAATACTTAAGGTTCAAGTTTTATGAAGCACTGTTTAAAAATGACAATAGGTGAATTTTATTGTTGGATCATGTGTCTAAATATTATAATAAATAATAAAACTATTAATTCCCAAAAATGAATTTTTAAAAAAAGATAGGTTTGCACATATTTTTTTAAGTAGTTTATTTATTTGAAATAATGTAGAGTAATATTATTTATATCCAATTAAATGCATTTTTTTAATATAAGTTCAGACGTGTTGTGGCAGCTTGCTAAGTAACTTAAATGGGTGTTTATGGCCCTTTGAATGACATATTATGCTATTTTAATTTACTATTACAATTTATTTCAAACACTAATATTAAGAACGATTTTATTTTTTTCCAGAACACAATATTCAATATTGAAATATTTGATCCCTTCCCACCACAAAAATTTATCGTCATTTTAATAGCAACATCATAATACAGTTTATTTGCTCAGTCATGAAAGAAAACATTAGTCGTTTTTTTTTTTTAAGTATTTACTTTGAACCTTTGAACAGACGGTAAAAAAGCTAAACTGTACCGTTATACTAATAATATTTTATATTATTTACCGAACATCCGACTACACATCAAATTAATGTTTGTAATGCTTTGTACGTTGTATAATAAATCAGTACTTTTTAGCCATAATAAAAATATTTATTATGTCTAAACTATTTGCAATACACATTGTCCCTTGTGCCCTGGTAGGTGGCATAGCGGTTTTATATGGGGGGAGGGGGTGAGGTTGTTGGTTACTATTGTTTGTACACTCTATCATAATACTATTATTATATTGTTATTAATGTATTATACTGTCGACCGAGTCACAGTGACTAGTTGCAAAATGTCTAATTAGATTTCGAGTGAAATATATTATTCCTATTTATACTTTTTAGTATAAAGATTATAAATTTAGATTTAGAAAAATACATGCATTAAAATTAAGAGGGAATAGATAATAACGCCATATTAAAACGGGTAAACTCAGAAATGTTAAAAACCCAAAATGATTGTTTGTTTTATATAAATAGAATTATCATATTATGAGATACACAATGGTTATTAAATGCAATTCAAATTTTATAATTCAAAACATTTTAATTCTTGTTCAATATTATTTTATGTCGCTACACAAAAAACATTTTTTTCGCTGTAGGTTTATTTTTTTGGACTATATTGATTACCACTTTAAATAATAATAATGATTGAAACAGTTAAATGATACAATACACTTGTACTGTTTTTATAAAACCCTTTAATAAAAATTCTTACAACTTACTTAATCAATGAAAATTATAGTCAACCTAATTTTTATCAAAAAGTAGAAAAAATGCTAAAACTTTAAAGTGGTTGTCTATTTTCATGAAACTGAATTATCCTAAAATCATATTAACATATATAATTTATATAATTACAGACAAATCCGTTTACTATTAAAATGTAATTAAAACTAAATAATTTAAATAGCATAGTGTTTTATTGTAAATATTAGACTATTATAATTCAAAATCTGACATATTGATATGAAGATGTTCCAATCCCACAATACTAGCGTCCGACCTCTCTACACAGTTTATCGGATTGAGTTCATCAATGTATTCTGTTAATGACCGAATGACACTAAAGTTGACATTATTGAAAACCAATTTCAGATGAGAAAGAAAAGTTCTCGCGTTACCCAAACTATTATACTCAATGGGCACGGGACTAAACGGTATTTTCAAAGATAGTATTTCTTCTTCAGTCAGACCTGTATATTTTATTTTTAATTCTTGATTGTCTATAACGATTGGAGAGCTGGCTTCGCATCCAAAAGGCTGACATAGCGTAACGAGTATTGAAACTACATAGCTAACCACACTATCTATTATCTGTACCCCATTGATTAAATCCATCAGGCAATGCAGCAACCTTAATACATTTAGATCTCCAGACAAGTTTACAATAGTAACGAATTGAAGCACTATATTGTACCATTCTTGTGCGTACAATTTGTAGCGACCCAATTTACCAACGTAAGGTCGTAAATATGCCATGTGTTTAAACGTCAGACGAAACAAGATAATTTTTAAAAAGTCATTACACGCATTATAGTATGACTTTATGTGTCGGAGGTTGGTGTTTTTCCAGTCCAGTGCACGCGCTTCTCCCCATGCCGTACACAGTATTGGGCTAGTGTTATTCCATGTTATTTTCAAGTTGTACACGTTTTGTAAGTCATATTTAAGCTTGTCTTTTATCCCCAGGTTGCTCATCAACAGCGAATTAGATTTTATACTTAAGTCAAGCCTATCTTTCAACAAACCATCACTAATTATTTTGTTTCTTCTTAGCTGAGCATTGGCCTGTTTCATGTACTGTGGTAGTATAGTTTTTATATAAGTAAAGTATTCCAACTTCTGACCTGAGCGTAAGTGGCTCTCGTACGAATCGAATAAATTGCCCTTACGACACCCGGATAGGTCGTCGTCCAGTTTTTCGATAACATAGCTGATAGTTTCGATAAGTTTCGGATGGTCTTCCGTTGAACTTTTTGTATCCTGGTAAAAAGCCGTTATTAAACTAGTGAACAAGTGTAATGCCCACATGGCACCAATACGTTTTACTTTCAGACAGAACAGTGAAATTATCTGGGATCTCACTATACCGTTCAAACTACTAATGTAGTTAACAATTGCTTTCAATTCTGTATGATTTTCAAGTAAATCCTTAACTAGCCGCATTTGTGTACACCCGCCGAACAGGTATCCACATTTTAGTTCCATATAAAGTTCATTTTTTTCAATATTGGTTTTCGTATATTTATATCCGGTTTCCAGTGAATGTACCGAAGTGTAAACAAACATCATTATGCCTATAACCCATTTCTTCAGTATTCCTGAACGCATCATTATTTTTTTTAAAAGTTGATTTGACAGGTATAAGTATTGTATAAATATACAGGTATAAAATAATTAGGTTTGCTTACTTGGTTCTTGAGGTAATGAAATGCGCTGACTGAGAAAAATATTAAATTTGTTTTATTCGCGTTGATGACAAAAAAAACATTTTTCGGTTTAGGTATATTTGTTTAGACTACATTTGTTTAGCTGTTTAACACACAAACTATAAATTTGTTTACCTTTTTAAGCTGATTGGCAGTGTAATTTATTAAATACATAAGCGATTATATTTTACAAACAATTTCTCAGTTTCTAGAAAATTTGGTCGTCCTTTTTGTTACAGAATTAGACAGGACCAAATTCAACGCAAAATTGAATTACAAAAGATACAATACAGTTATGATTTTATGCTTGAAGATATATTTCATACGTTTACCGGGGTAATGACATATTATACTATTTTGTATTAATATGAATGTTTATTTCAAACAATATAAAGAAGAACATTTTTATTTTTTGCAGCACAATAAGTATTCAATTAATAGCATCAGCATAATACAGTTTATTTTCTCAGTCATGGAAGAAAACATAAGTAGTTTTTATTTTTAGAGTGGATTTACTTTAGACACCTTTAAACAGACGGCAAAAAGGCTAAACGGTACGTTTTTATTGCAATATAACAATATTGTATTTACCGAACTGCCAACTACACAAACAAATTATGTTTGTAATGTTTTGTTTGTTGTGTAATAAATCTGTACTTTTTAGCCATAATAATAATAATTATAACATCTTCGAATTTAAATATTCATTATGGCTTCTAGCACAACCAAATAGTTCAGATTTTCCCTATGGTTTCCCATTTGGAGTAATAAAAATCTATATACTGTTTAATGTTATGTTGAAAATTGTTTCTAGACCGAAATGATTATTACTAATTATATTATAATAATGAATAGTCGAGCGACACGCTTATACAATATCCAGTTACTTTTGCGACTTGTTAAAAAAAAAAAAATACAACTATATCTACAACAAAAGACATTTTATGGTATATACTACACTTTTTTTTTTGTCTGCTAACTACAATATTTTCATTAACTATTTAACTTTTTCTTTGTGTAGTCCACTTTCCAAGAACTTTGGCCCTACCTATCTCGTTTCAGTTTGTCGAGCGTAAAATATAATAATGTACTGTATTTTCAAGTGTTCTTTGCTGCTAAAACTACACTTTTCGACTTTAAATAGGTTCAATATTTAACAATGTCTCTGTACAAGCAGAACAAAATTATTCATTTTTTTTACATAAATGTTAGTTTAAATAACGTAATCGTATAATGATGTTATATTTTATTAATTCACTCGAATAAAACATTATCTTTTTCTTTACGATAATACGTTATTTGGTTTTGTTCTAGTAGTTAGTTGTTATGTAATTAAATTGTTTTACCACACTGCATTTTAATTTATTTTTAGATGGGTTTTTACTTTTTACCCATTTACTTATTTACTCATATTGCTTTATAGATTTTCTGACTTGTTTAAACAATAATTATCTATTTATATTGAAGCCTATAACATCAAGCTAATATGCAACAGGCAAAGAATTGAAAATGAGTAAATAAATAGTATTTACTCATTTACTCGATTTATTCACCCGTTTATACTATTTATTTACTAGAATAATTTAATCACTTACTCGTTCATTGTATTGATTTACTAGTTTTGTTTACTCATTTATTCAATTTATTTTCTTGGGGTTTAAATATTTTCTTCTATGTATTTACTTGGTTTATTTACTTCTTCATTCGATTATTTACTCATATACGCTGTTTATTTTCTTAGTTTTTACTCATTTACTCACACATTTGATTTCTTCACTCGTTTTTTTTACTCGGTTTTTCTGTTTATTTACTCATTTATCTGATTTTTTTTACTCGATTTATTCTATTTATTTAATCGTTCTGTTTACTCGTTTATTAAATTTATGTTCTTGTGGTGTTAGTTGTTTCTCAATGTATTTACTTGTTCAATCGATTAGTAACTTGATTATTTTCTTAGATTTTCGCTCATTTATTATTCAATATATTTACTAAATTAAATTACTCATTCATTCGGTTTATTCGTTCGATTATTAGATTTATTTTTACTCGTTTTCTAGTTTTATTTACTTAGTTATTTGGTTTATTATTCAATTGGCTCACTAGTTTAGTATTTTGTATTATTTTTTTAAATAGTAAATATATGTATAATGTATATACTATATAATTTGACCACTATGACCCAACTGTTGGCGTTTTTTTATTTGCTTGCTTTTTGCTATGGCATAGTTATAACAGTTCATTATACATTATTGTTATCGTTATAACGTCCCTTGTGTAAATACCTTATTGTCGTAGCAGGCGACATAGCTGTTTTATCGGTAGAATAGGTGGGGGAGGGTGTTCGTTATTATTGTTTGCACTCTACATCATAATACTATTATTATTATTATATTGTTATTACTATATCACATACTGTCGACCGAGTCACGGTCTCTTGTTGCGAAATGTCTGGGCCGCACCTGTTCGCGTACAGTGAAATCACATCAGCTGTGAATCGGCATGAACATTTTTATTGACTCAGAGGATGCTTCCGAAAACTTCCGCGAGTGCCCCACAGATTAGACGACGAACTTGAATCTATTAACGAGCATTCACTTTAGGTGAACAAAATTTCGTTTTTTCAGAAAACCATTACAACGGACCAATCAACTAGTGGTCGTGTAGAGTTCATCACGATTTGGAATAATAACTTATATTATTATCAATTGTTTCTTTGTTGATAATGTACACAGAAAAAATGCGCCTTAAAAAAATTGCTGGAGAGTTGGAATGTAATTCTTTAAAGTCGGTGTTCTGACATTTTTTTTTTTTTTTTTAAAACGTTTCGAGGAACCTGACACCTTTTTTTCATTAGCCAAAATTTTCAAATTATTAAAAACATTTTTGTGAGTTACATCGTGACTCGGAAACGTGTCGGGTTTAGTGTGCATTTTTTTTTTTTTGTGTGTCTGCAACTACTAATTAAACCGATTTCTTTGATCGGATTTCATTATATTTCTGAAGATGTTTGTTCAAAATATTATAATATAAATATTATTGAACATGTTTTCACTAATAATTATCACTGAACAATTATTATCACATTATTACGTCTCCTTAGCGAGCAACGTTTAAAGAAGACAATGTTATTATGGCGTTTGCGTTGCTCATCCAAACGGTTTACTCAAAGATGGAAAATAAAGAAGAAGGGGAAAAAAGGTCGACGTTAAACACAAGATGCGATATTACGACGTTATCGTGTGAAAACAAAACGTGATTTGTAAAAAAATAATAATAATAATAATAAAATAACACCCAACAACAACAAAAATAAAAGAGACGATACTATCGGACGGGACCGCAGGCGTTGCTATTGTCCCGTCGGGCCCGCCCCCTATTAAGGGACGATGGGTACTAATGATAATTACAGCTACCGTGGCCGTGCCCTGAGGATAAAACGGTGGCCGCGCACCGGTTGCCGGGTAGACCGTTCGCGTTCGCGATAGTGTTCACACGGTGCGGAACGGCCGAAAAACCGAAATACCGAAAAATCGAATTATCATGTTGCGTGCCGCGGACAGTGTTTTGGCGCACGAGTATTTTTGCTACGACGACGGCCTCGGCATCGGCGGCGGCTGCGACCTGCAGACGTCGGCCAACGTTCCTCGTCCGCCGGCCGGGTACGACGACACGGTCGACATGGGCTTCGACGGCGCATGGTACGCACATTCGACGGATTGCCGCGGTCGTCCGTCGACGGACCGGTGTCCCAGCGGCAGCGGCAGCGACGGCAGGTGGGACGCAGACGCGCCGGACAACGGCAGCAGAAAGCGGCGGCGGCTGGCGGCCAACGCGCGCGAGAGGCGGCGCATGAACAACCTGAACGAGGCGTTCGACCGGTTGCGCGAAGTGGTGCCGGCCGCGGACGCCGAACGCAAGCTGTCCAAGTTCGAGACGCTGCAGATGGCCCAGACGTACATAGCGACGCTGCACGAACTGCTGGACATCCGACCACAGGCACAGGCGCCGTCACAGGCACACCACGCGGTGGCTGCCACCCAGCCATGCGGTGAGTTTTACCGGACGCCCAATCGAATTTCTTACTTTTGAAACGACCAAACTTTCCAGTTATTATTATTTTTTGTTATATGTATATTTTCTTTTTTTACCAGATCTTATTTTTATTATTAGTATTCTTCGAACGTTTAGTATGTTGTTCAGTGTTGTTCAAAAAATTACATGATTCAAATGTATAAACATTTATAACTTAACTTAAAACTTATTTGTAACTTAAAATTCATAAAATTTGATGTGTTTATTTTTTTATTCTTGTTAAATTCGTCAAAACCTGATATTTTTTTTATTTACTATTCAACTTATTTAAACTGTTAGGCTATAACATACTAAAAGAAATTGATTACATATTTTTGTTCATAACTTCTTACATTTTTTGTCAAATGAATTCACATAACAACAAATTTTCAAAATTTAAAGTTTTTTATAGATATGATGCGTTCAAAATGTATAATGTGATAATGAATTTTTGTTGCCCAACGCTGATGATAATTATATAAAGATACATTCGTACTCGGTTTTAGTTAAGTGTTATTTATTTTCTGTAATATTCGATTGTACACGTTAAGCTATTAATGTATAAAATATTAATTGAAATCTATATAATATTATGTGTATAATATAATACCGAAACTGTTTTGTCGTGTCAACCGGTGTCTTTATATTATAATCTATTTCTATATTGTGAATATAAAAAAAAAATTTAATTTTGTAACGTAACCAAACAAGACTGAACTATGTTATGTTAAGATTGTGTGTAAATAAAATTATTATTTGTATGTAATTCTACCGCTTGCTGTGTTAATTAACCGTTCAAACCTTACCTAATATTTTGTATAGTTTATAATACCGTTGCGAATACTTGAAAAACAATATTAGAGATAAGTAAACTTCTTAGCCGTCGGTTGTCAAAGAAACTACACAATGGGTTTAGCTTATTCTTAGCTCGAAAATACATACTAAAAGCGGCGTTAGCAGCATTGTATGAAAACTTTGAGCAGGCAAGTGGGCCGTAGGTCTGATGTAAGTTAAATTGCATCCGTTTTTTGCCTCTACTGTGTCGGTTAAATTTGAATAAAAAATGTGCACGTGGTAAGATGTAGATAAACGTCTCAGGCTTTCACGCCCATACAGTATGCATATGGTGTATACATACAACCTGTACGTATGGGCTATAATAAATGACGGTATGAGGTCGGTTTCTGTAACACAATGTCGACTAATGCATTCTCGGTTAACTTGGAATTATCGTTCTAAGGTTTAGCCTTCAACACAATGCGAACCTAACAGAAAAATTAAGTTATGCATAACATGTTCAGTACGGACGTCTTAGTGGTTGCTGTTCTTTATTATTTTCAAACTGTGGTAAGTATGTAATGTGTATAAAAAGTATTGGTTTTTCAATGATGTTTTTATTATAATATTTTTATATAAGTTTTTTAACCAAACTACTAAAGCATTTATATTATATTATTACAATGTGCATACTGCCGGTAAATCAAAAATCATACAACGAATAGTATACTTAGTTTGCCAAAAAAGCGGGAACTAATTCTCCGCTTTTTTTAAAAATAAAACATTTTAATAATAAAAGTTTTGTTATATCGTTAAATGTTATAGGTAATTATGTTCCTTATGATCCCGGCATATTTAAAACTGAACAAAAGATGGATTTTTTAATATACAGGATGATTTTGTAGCTATTCTTTTTGGAGAAACTTTAGTTATATGTTTTAAGAGCTATATTCTATTAATTTTTTAAATTGAGAAAGAATTTCGTAAATAACGTAGAATAAAAATTGCAATTAATTTAAGAAAAAAAATTAGTGTCTGATCATTAATGATAAATCACCCTGTATGTATGTCGAGACAATGGGAAGAGGATGTATAATTTTGACCAAAATTCAAACAAAATCTACCATTAAGTGAGATAATATCACCTGTGGCCATCCTGCCTAAATATTTGTTTTTTTTTTCAATTTTCCCCCATTTAGAACATTTTCTGTTGGTGAGTTAGATAAGCTACAAATAAAATAGAAATGATGCCGAGGTATTGTGGCCGACGACTTGCCAAACGGTAGCTGTTTTCAGGCGATAAAATAAAAACGTTCTTAAGGTCATATTATTATTAAGGTAGAAGAAACACATAAATACAGACCCGAAAGCCAATAATCGTTTCGCGTCGGACACGACATTATAAAACGTATGGAAGTGCAATTATTCGAGTGAGATAATTTTATTATTCTCGGTTAAAGTTCATAGAAAACTTAATGTCGACCACGCAACGCCAAAGTGCACTTGTTTTTGTAGCTACATACAAAAGCAGGCGAAAAAAAATTCACTACTTTGTAACGACACGGTTAAGGGGCCTCTACATTAGCATTTATTAAGGCGCATTGTATAGGCAATTTTTCGCTAAAACTTAACATTAAGCTAAAATACGATAATTAACTTTTTTTTCCGACTTTTATAACGCATATAGGATCTATTTTCGTATAAAAAAATATGTCCCCACTTCAAACGTACTGATCGATTTAAGTTTTGAAAAAACATTTGAATTCTTCATAACACTTCCAAGGCAATGACTGTGGCACAATTTAAAAATTATTTTTAGTTAATTAATTATTTCAATGTAACAAAACTGAAAAATTTTAACTTTTTTAAACTGAAATAATAACAAATAATAATTTTTAAATTGTGCCACAGTCATTGCCTTGAAAATATTATGAAGAATTTAAATGTTTTTCAAAACTTAAATTGGAGTATTCTTAAAAACAGTACGTTTCAAGTACAATGAGTCAACAGTCCAAAGCCAGTGCCCAATCACATCTGAAAACTATATAATTATAACATCATATTCACAATAGTTGTAAATCTAATCAAATTTGCGTCGTTGTTTTATTCGATATTTTGTAATTTTTTTGATTCCGAAAATTACACATGACCGGTATACCTAATTATTACAACCATACCTTTCTAAAGTAAACTTATCAACAAGAGAAAACACAATGTTTTGTTTGTATTAGGCATATAATTGCAGACCTAACTATATTGTGTCCGTATAATTATAATATCATCTGAAATGTTGTCATAAAATTATATTATATTGCTTATTTTTGAAACGGTTAGTTTGAAATTGTTTAGGCCTTTAAATGTCCTTAATGGATATTGAGCTGTTAAAATGAAAAATTATCATACGACAATATCAACTAAGATTAAACTAAAAGTAAAATAAATGTCTGAAGAATTGCATTGAATACTTTTCGTTTTGTCGAAATCGTTAAAAAGCCGTTTTGAAGATCAAAGATATACTTATATAAAATTGAAGAGTGGAATCAAAAAAAGCTGTAAGTGCACATCGACGAGGAAATTTCCGCGTTACATTAGCGTTGGAACATATATCCTTTTTGACTGAAACATTTTTTTTTTGGGAAAAAATGCCACTTAAAGCCTTTTTTTATTCCACTTTTCAATTATTATTATTGGTCGCTTTATGTAATAAGATAAAATATTGATTAACCAAAACAGTATAAACGTCCAAAAGCAAAAGTACAAATAGACAATTTACACATTATAGTCAAATAGACAGTTTTTACTTGTCTGTATTATTTAGTGGCCCTAACCTTTAAATATGTATGGCTTAATAAATATTAAGTTAAGCGTTTCAAACGTTATACAGCCTACTAGTATGTACGAATAGACATTTTGTTGGTGGCATCAATATTCTATTTTTTTTTTTTTTTTGGTAACTGTGATATTTAAATGATGTCGCATTTGATGACTATATTATGTTAACGTCAAACTGTAGAGGGTTAACCATGCGTTAAAAAAAATTGTCAAGACACGGTTAAAAAAAAACACCATGAAATTAATTTGTAGAATTTACTGGAAAAAATATATAAATTTGCAATGATAAAAAAGTCGTCCGACCAAAAGTTTGACGGTGTAATTTAGCGATAACTCCATTGCCATAGTAGGTACCTTGTACATAGAATTAGAACATATTATACTCTACACAACGAAATCAATTCCACGGTGAATTTCGACCAAACTTGATTAATGGTGTTGCACTGCGAATTCTAAAATGTCAATCCGTATAACCTAACGTGTACCGGCTGACCTTTCGACGACCGGAATATTTATCAAGCATTTAACACTAAACAACCGACGATAATGTCATTAATCTTTTGCCGTCTTTATTTCCTCGCACTCGGAATTTACCTTCAATCGCTTACCTACTCCATTACCCGCTGTGTAATGTATATATATTTTTTGTTTTGGTAAAAAATGTTTCCAAAAGTAATATTATTTATTATATTTTGTCCGTTTAACACTAGTTAATACAATCTGTACGTTTTCAACACGGATGCGTGTTATTGGATCAAGTGATAAGAGATTAGAGATAGTCAATATAAGGCAGCCATTTTGTGTACAAATTTCATGGAAAGTAAAAATGCTACGTTACTTTTCCATGATACATGTATTAAAATGTTCGATCAGGTGATGATAACACTTGATATGATTTATCGAATATGTAATCATAGAAACGTTACGTTAGGTGATGATTATACGATGATAGCTCCATCATAATATTATATCCGTCATGAATCATAGCAATAAATGTCATGGACGAAGCGATAACTGTTCACAAAATGGTAGCCGACCAATATAGGCAATACGAGTTCAGTGCATATATTGAGTTCAGTGACCGAACCCTATAGTGGTCCTCCACCAAATGTTTGCCAACGGCACCGATAGGTACACTATAATGATAGTGTTGACATTAATATGGTATTATGTCTAGTAGGGTTTATCCGGTCCATCGCTCGTCGTGCAATAGAGGTCTGCGCCTAGGATTACACGGGTTGGGGGCGTACCGTGTTTGTGTTTGTCAATTGTTTTATGAATACATTATCGCCTTTATCCGGTGTGTGTTTGTTCGAGTGGTCGTGATCGGGATTAAATTTGCAAAGTACCATGTCGGTGGGTACATGATTCTAATAAAAATCCGTTTATCGGTTTCAGCGAAATTTAGC